GCAGCGAGGCCAGCACAGGAAACGTCATTACTAGCTGAGCCACCTCACTGGGCTCCCCTCTTTCCCTCTCTCCTTTCTCATGTGTTCCTGCTCCACAAGCTCCCTTTTCCCACAAGAAATGAAAAGCCTGTCATGGTGTGACACACCTGTAATTCCAATATTTCAGAAGTGCAGTAGGAGGATCAGGAGTTCAAGGCCATCTGCCATCCTGGGTTGCATAGTCTCAGTCTTAAAGAAAAAAAGTGAAAATGAAACTTAGGATGTAGTTTAGTGATAGAACGAACCTTTGTGTAGCATGCTTGAGGGCACTTGGTACATAGTATGTAAAGAACTTTTACAATTCAGTCATCTACTGCAAAAAGAAACTTCTCTGATTGAGGGATGTACTAATTTGCTGTACAATAATAAGTCTTTAGGAGTTGGTTTAATACTATGTCCATTTAGCAGAGTAATAGTAGTAGTTTTCCCATAGTGCCTATGACCTGTTCTAGCCATAGGTTCTTGGCCTTGATAATGGTGCCAGGTATGGCTAGAGAGGGCCATAAATCAGAAAGTAACTGGTTACTCCCCTAACGTTCATGCAAGTACTGCACCAGTGGCCATATCTTGTTGGGCTGGTCATTATAAAGCTCAGTATTCACAGTTGGATGAGAATGATGATTCAGCACTATCAAAGCTGGCCAATAGACATGAAGCCTCATTAGCACCAGCTTGAGTTTTCCATGTTCTATGACTCAAATATGTGGTGTCTTCAGCAATAGGTTCTTACTATTCTTAAGTTCTGGAAGGCAATCAAGTGCAATGACAATAGATTTCATATTCCCCCTAGTCATAATGGATAAGATTTTTTTTTTAAAAAAAAAATCACAATAGAAGATGTGAATGTGGGACAAGGGGGAACACTTACTGCTGGTGGGAGCCTAAACTGTTATAGCTACTATGGAAATTAGTGTGGAGGTTCCTTAAAAATCTAGAAATAGATCTATAACATGATCCAGCTATATTGTTCTTGGGCATATACCCAAAGGGCTCCATATCCTATTACAGAGATACTTGCTCATCCATGTTCACTGATGCTCTAGTCACAATAGCCAGGAAATGGGAATAGCTTAGATGTCTATCAACTGATAAACAAAAGAAAATATGGCACATTGTGGATTATTTATTATCTCACTGTCAAGAAAAATGAAATTCTCAGGTAAATGGACAGAGTTGGCAATAACCATCTGAGTGAGGTAACACAAATTCAGAAAGACAAACATGTTGCAGATGTTAGTTTAGAATCTTTAGAGACGTGTGTGCTTGTTTCAATTGTCACACCCATAGAGGTCAAGCACTTAGTAAAGGGCTATAGAAATAGGGGCTCAAGGAAAGGAGGACACAATGCAGTGATATAAGGGGGGGGGTCAGAAAATGGAACAGAAATGGTTAAATGGAGTGGAGCATGGGAGGGCAAGGTAGAGAAAGGAATACAAGGAGAGATATAACATGAAAGACCTTTAAAAAGAGTCATGAAAAACCACTGCAGAATCTTCCTAAAATATATACATATTTTAAAATTTTTAATGGAATTACCCTATAATGGGTTGATAATGACCCTACTAGACACCATAGGCTAACAAATAAAAATCCAGTGTGAGAAATATAATGTACCACTATCATCAATAAGTAATCATCAATCTTTCAAAAATTTTTTCAAGACAGGGTTTCTCTATATATCCCTGGCTGTCCTGGAACTAGCTCTGTAGATCAGGCTGGCCTTGAACTCTCCTGAAAAATTTTTTTATTTATGTGTATGGGTGTATTTGTGTGGGTGGCTGCAGATGTCAGAAGAGAGTATCAGATCCCCTGCAGCTGCAGTTATGAGTTGTGAATTGCCTGATATGGATCCTGGGATACAAATTCATATCCTCAGGAAGAGCTGCAAATACTCTTAACTGCTGAACTATCTCTCTAGTTCCTTTCATGTGTTTTTTAGTCAGCAAAGTAATAGGTTTCATTATGGCATTTTCATACATACCTTTTTTGGTTGACCATCCTCTTTCTTTTATTTCTGCAATTCCCATCTCCCCAAAATGTACCCTCCTACCTGCTTCCAATTTAATGCCCCTACTCCTACATCTTAATTAAAAAAAAAAATTATGTATGTATGTATGGGTGGTTTTCCAGCATGTATGTCTGGGTATTATTTGCATGTCTGATGTCCATAAGGTGTCAAGTACCCCTGGAACTAGAGTTACAGACAGTTGTGGGCTACCCGTGTGTTTACTGGGAATTAAACCAGGGTTCTTTGGAAGAGCAACAAGGGCTCTTAACCACTGAATCATCTCTCCAGCCCAACTGCCACTTCTTTAAAGTCTCTTGGTCCCCTTTCTAGGTTCATGACTTATACTCAGTCATGACACACACACACACACACACACTAAAATCTAGGATCTACATATGAAATAGTAGTTTAACTTTTTGTTTTGAAATGGTCTAACTCTATCCCTGGTTGGCTTTGAACTCACAGAGATCCACCTGTGTCTGCCTCCTGAGTGCTGTATTAAAGGTGTGTACTACCATGTCTGGGCTAGTTGTACTCTGAATTACTCCCCAAATAGAAAATACACTAGTTGCTAAATTGCCTCTAAAAACATAAGCTATTTTGGCTCAGTGGGTGAAAGAGAAGCTGACTTCTGTTTCTGAAACACATGGTAAGAGAACTGACTCCTGAAAGTGGCCCTCTGACTTCTATATTGCTATGCACATACCTGCTCTTCCTGTAACACACATGCATATGCACACAAACACACACATAGTACTATCACCACCAAAAGTTAGAAAAAAATATTAGGACCTCATGTTATTTAAAATTTCATGAAAACTAAATATTCTTTACAAATATAGACTTCTTCCTACAAATCCATCATTGTATACAGAACAGATGGAAGAGAACAGCAAAAACAGTTACCAATTCAACATATTTGTAAAATAAATTTGGTAACATACATATACAATTTTATTATTCATTTGCAGACAGGGATTCACTATGTAGCTTAGGCTGGCCTCCAAGAGCTGTGATTTAATACAACAGTTTTCAAGCACAGTTTTACTTGAGGCATTTCCTCTGAATTCAAGAGTAGTCCTGGGTTTCTTCTAAGTGGCCTATCTTTATTTATTCATTCAAGGAATGAGGCATATATTGTGCTCTGAGATGCTGGTGATACAAATTAGTACAGCCAGTTTGTATGTAGAGAAATATAATCCAGTAGTTTAGGCTGGTCTTAACTTACTATGCATCCTTCAACTCTTGATCCTCCTGCTTCAGTCTCTGGTGTTTGTTGGAATTGCAGGGATGTCTATGAGTAATTTCTTAAGATTTTTTTTTATTAATTATTTGTGTATATGTGCATATGAGTGTGAGTGTCTGCAGAGACCAGAAGAAGACACCAAATCTCCTGGAGTTACAGGCACTTTGAGTAATATCAAGCAGCAAGTGCCCTTAATGGGTGAGGCCTCTTCAGCATCTGAAAACTTAAACAAACAAAAAGTGCAGCAGTGGAGATTGAACTTAGAAACTTGAGTGTCCTAGGCAAATACTTGACTACCAAACTGTATTCTCAGCCCTCATGAATAATTATTGAAAAAAAAGTGCCAGTAAAATCAGTGTTCACAATAACTGCCCACAGGCCATCCAATGAAAACTCAGGTACCCAGGGAAAAAAAGCTTTGAGGTACAACAACTTTAGAATGTATGTTATCAGCATTATTTTGTAAAGTAGGAAGGACTGGTTCATTTGGTAAATTCCAAGAGATAGAAAAACTTTACACTTGGGGTGGGGATGGGGTGAACCTCGGTTGGTAGATTTCTTAATAACATACACAGTACCCATACCCTACAAACCTCCAACATGGGCAAGTCTGTTATCCCACTACTTCACTGGAGGTGGCCACAGACTTTGAAGTTCAGGGTTATTAATCCTTGACAGCCTAAAGCTTTTGAGGCCGGCCTAGGCTACAAAGGATTCTGGCCTACAAAATGCGCTGATTCATTGGAAAACACACACACACACACACACACACACACAGCGCAGATTCACACCGCGCCCCAAGGCCCTCATTGGAAAACACACACACACACACACACACACACACACACACACACACACACACACACACACACACCACACACACACACAGCGCTGATTCACACCGCGCCCCAAACCCAAAACAAGGCACATCAGATGGAGGGGTAAAAAACCTTAAAGAAAATTCAAAAGACTCAGAATTTACAAAAAGACCACTTTTATTTATGATTTTGGAGACAGGTGTTCATGTATCCCAGACTGTCTTCTAATTTACTACTTAGCGGAGGCTGGCTTTGAACCTCTTCAGCTCACAAGTACTGGGACCACAGGCGAGCATATGCTCACCGTGCTGGAGATAGATTCCAGGGCTTCCTGCATGCTAGGCAGGGGCTTTACAAATTGAACTCTAGATGGTGTACCTTTATCTGGAAAACACAACAAATCAAAGGCGGAGATGCTAGCACGGTGTCCAGAGGCACACAAAGACAAGTAGATAAAAAGGTGTCTGGAGACAGCAGTGACCGAATGGACCAGACGGATCATTTTTCCTGGGGTGGGAGATTATGAAACATGGCTACGGGCATCGCGAGCGTGAGGGAGAGGCTCGACAGAAAAGCTTTTGTCAGCAGCATCTCCATCTGGGCGTCCCCACCCCCATCCTCGCCCCACCGGTCGGCCATCAACCACCGCGCACCCGGGCCTGGTCCCACCCCTCGCCCCGCCCCCGCGACGCTTGCCCTTCAAGGCCTCGCTTCTGACCTCGACCTCCCGGCTCTTTTCCAGGCTCTCCTCCCCTTATTAGCCCACCCAAAGAAAGGAGCAATTGCCCAGACGCGGGAACAAACAAGCTTTTCTCTCTGGCCTGAAGGGATCCAACGTGGCCGATAGCTCGGAGCCGGAAGCGGAAGTGACGTCATACCCCTTTCTCGGGGTTCTGGGTCCTTCTCGGCGGTTGTCCGCGGGCTCTCCACTCCGGTCGGTGAGTATTCGGTGAGGGGATGCGGGGGCTGGCACCGGGAGGGAGAGGACTAGCTAGGCCTCGGTGGGGAGGCGAGCCGAGCTCTGCTCACGGGGCCGCGCGTCCTTCGGGTTCTACAGCCCTTCCAAGGTGCCACGGCCCGAGTGCGCATCACGACTCAGCGCTGAGCTGCTTGCATCCACCTTTCTTCTAAATCCTGTGTAAAGTAACCTTTGTGGAATTGTTCTTATCCCCCTCCCCCCCCGAAAGAATAGACTTTCCGCCATTGGCATCACATTGAGACGCTGCATCTTTCATTCTCGGACCGGGCGATTCTGTCTGCTGCAACCGAGCTTTGGCCGAAAGGTGGGTAAACACAGCCCTTTCTTCGTTTCTTCTTTGTGTGTGTGTGTGTGAAAGGAATGTTTTATCCGAAAATTTAGCTTTTGTGGGACAGCTGTTTACCTGAGACACATTCCATTTTATTTTTTTAAAAAAGGTAACTTTGTTATACACTTACGCAGGATGCATTTATCTGTATGTAAATATAAACGTACATAGATCATACACGGATCTCTTTGTGTCGAAGAAAAGTAAGGATAACAAGTTACTCTCATTGATGCTGGGGGTGCAACTTGTGACTTCATGATGCTAAGCACTCCTGCTGAGGTACACCCTAGCCCAAATAGTTAGCTATTGTCTGAACGTTGTAGGCCTGTGCCTCCTTGCAGACTTTAAAAAAATGGAGGCTTTGTTGAGTTAGTACTGATTAGCTTTTTCCAGGGAAAAATAAAATAACATTTTACAGTGTACTATTTGAAATAAGTTGAGAATTTCAGACACGGTACTTTTACGGAGACCATAGTAATGTTTCAACCAAGATAATTAAAAATAACGTTATTTAATATCTTCTTTGTGTGAAATCAGAATTCTTCATTGTTATAAAATTGGGTGTTTTTGTATCACAGATCTCTTCAAAGTTTCTTTGTTTTGCTTTTGTGGCAGTGGCAATTGAGTTTAGGGCTTTGTGCATGTTGGGTAAGCTCTCTACCACTGAACTATGAACCCAGATCTCCTTAAGGCAGTTTTGTTGTTTATTTAATATATTTAAATTTTAATTATTTTTTATAATTAGATATTTATGTATGGGGTGTGGGTTTATGCCTTTGAGTGCACCGCCCTTGGATGTCAGGAAAGGGCATGGGGTCCCTGGAGCTAGTTACAGGAGGTTGTGAGCCACCTGGTATGGTGTTGGGAACCAGACCTCAGGTTCTAGAATAGCAGTATGTACTCTTAACTGATAAGCCATTTATCTCTCCAGTCCCCTCTAAGGTTCTTAAAGAAAATTTCAGATGTCTTTTAGGTTCTTTGAACCCAGAGCAGTCATGTTGCTGTTATACTTTGTCAGGAGATGTATATTTCTCCTTGTTTCTGTGTATATTTTGATGGTTTGTTTTTGTTGGAATTTTTGCCCATTTAAAAATTTTTCTCCAATTTTTTTTCTGTAGACTGATTGATGCTTTGATGGCTGAGAGAGTGAAGTGGTAAAGTGCCTAAAATATTTGAGGCCTTGGGTTTCATCCTCAGCATTACAAAGGAAGGGACCAGTATCGAAAGAATTGCAGCTAAGCTTGTTCTTAAAAACAGAATAAATGTATTACAAAATGATCAGTTTTCGAAGTTAATATATTCTCTATTGAGTTATTGAGTTAATATATTCTATTGGTATATGAGGGTACATGAAGGAAATAAAATTGTGTGTGTGTGTGTGAGAGAGAGAGACAGAAAGCCTGGGGGATGCTGAACCTAAAGCCTTGGACATGGTGTGTGCTCTGTCACTGAGTTACATACCCTGTCTTTTTACTTAACTTCTTAAACTACATTTTATTTTGTCCACATGAGTGCATGTATATGCTGTGTTGTGTGTAAGAGAACAACCTACTGGAGTCCATTCTTTCCTTCTATCATGTGGGTACTGGGAATTGAACTCAGTGAGCTTTGGTCTTGGTGGCAAATGCCTTTACACATTCAGCTGTCTCTTTGGGCTTAGTGCTTCTTTTCCTGCTCCTTCCTTCTCTTCTCATTCCTCTTCCCTCAGCATAATGGTTCCATATACCTTTTTACTTGAATATATTCATTGAACAAAATAATGGGTTTCAATATGACATTTTAATATATTCATATAATGTATTTTGATCATATTCACTTCCAAAAGAAGTGAGTTCTAAGTTGAGACTAAATGACAGGGTGTAGGAATAACCATGTTGAAAGAGAAGGACGTAGGAGGTAAAGAGAGGATGGTAAGCAGTGACTAATTATATTTGTACATTGCAAGAGGAGAGCCTTGAGTTAGGGCTTGACAGTAATTTTATTCATTTTCTTTGGTGGTACACAAACTCTTATCCCAGAAATTGGGTGGTGGAGACAGAGGATTGCTGCTAAGTTTTTAAGTTAGTCAAGGCTATATAGCAAAGACCCTAAATAAACAAGGGGGTGTCAGTGGTTAAGAATACTGGTTTCTCTTGCAGAGGACCTGGGTTTGATTTCCAGCACTCACATGGCAGCTCACATCATCTGTAAGTCCAGTTTCAGGGGAATCCAGTGCTCTCTCTGACCTTCATGGGCACCAGGCATACAAGTGGTGCATAGACATACATGCAGACATACCTATAAAATAAAATTCATCTATGTTATTTATTAATCTTAGGAAGTGTTTTTTGATCCTGAACAGTCAGGGCCTCTATGAATGGTTTTTAGACTGCTTTGGGTTTCCCCTATCTAAACTAGGACTCAGTTTCCCTGGGGGAATGTTCTAGTTCTACTTACAGGAGGAACCAGTCCTATGTGACTACTTACAAATACTGACACAAATTGGAACCACTCCAGGGGTAAATGACTGGAAGACTCCCCTGCAGTGTGGTATAGCTGAGAATATCAAGGGGTACTTTGGCTTGACAATATCCATGCCATCTTCTATATTTGCCTTTTAAGGAACATAGATTAAAAATTGATGGTGTCAGAGGAGTTAAAAAAAGAAGATGAGGGAAAGCTAGACATGGTAGTAAATACCTGTAATCCCAATATTTTGAAGTTGAAGCAGGAAGATATTGAGTTCTAGGTCAACCTGAGTGACAGTATACTGAGTTCCAGGTAAACCTAAGCTACATGAGACCTCGTCTCAGAAAACTCAGCCAAACAAACAAATAAAAAATTTTAATGAGGAATTGGTAGTTGGTAAGGTTGTACATACAATGCTTGTGGCAGAATTTAGTGAAGAAATAATTTGAACTAGTAATAGTATCTGTTAAATATTTGAATGTGAATGTTCTGAAATTATAGTATTAGTAGAAAAGTCAAAACTATTATTTAAATATGAATACTATTGGGGAGGGTGGGAGGGTGGTTGGGGACATGGGAGGGAGGGACAACTGGGATCTATATGTAAATAAGAAAAAAATAAACAAGTATGAATACTATTAAAAGTATTCACAATTATCTAAAATTGTATTATGTTAGAAACAACTGTGAGGGCTGGGGATGTGGTTCAGTTGGCGTGGAGGGAATCCTGGGTTCCATCTCTAGTTCTGCATATACTTGACTATAGTGTAAAGTCCTGTAATTCTGGACTCAGTAGGTGCAGACAGGAGACTCATCTTGCAGTAAATTGGAGGGATAAATCAATGATAGTACCACATACAGATGAATTTCTTTGACATCTTCTCCTTTTCCTACCCTTGGAATCGGGGCCATGTGAGTGCTAAACAAGTGCTGTACCACTAAGCTACATTTCTGTTCTCCACACAAGGATGCATGCCCCTCTTAAGCAATTGACTTCATTAGAAAACACTTGTTTAAAAAAATAGAAAAATAAAGTGTATACTTATTAATAATTAGTGCTTAGCAAGTTTTTACACATTTACTGTCTTAAATTGTCACATGACTATGTTGATGGACTTAGAAGAGAAGATAGGCAGGTGAAACTCAGGACCAGCCTGAGTTTCAAAATAGAAAGAGAACTTGTGTATACTTATTAATTAGTGCTTAACAAGTTTTAACACATTTATTGTCTTAAAATGTCACATGACTATGTTGATGCACTTGGAAGATAGGTAGGTGCAGCTCGGACCAGCCTGAACTACATAGCAAGTAGCAGAGGTGGAGGGGAAAGAACTGGTGTTGTATTATGTAGCATGTGTTGAAGTGTAGCTTGAGACACTGCAACAGTCCACAGTATGGTTTTTTAGCTCTTTCATGTGTTTTGACACTTATAATAGTAATAAAAAGTCTATATTCTAGCTAAGAAAATACAAAGGAAGCTGTAACTCTTCCCCAGAGTGAGAAGAAACAGTCCCACATAGACAAGATATCACTATCAAAACCATATTCATTAATCTTCATGTTTAGATACATTCTGAGTAAATAACATTCTTTGTTAACCAAAGATTAAATTAGAGCTAGGACTGGCTGCTCAGACCTGTAATCCCAGCTACTGGAAGTAGGTAAGAAGATTGAAAATTCAAGGCCATTAAGGGTTATTTTTTTTTCTTTAAATTTTTTTATGTGTTTTATATACCAAACACAGTTCCCTTTCCCTCCTCTCCCACTCTCCCCTACTTCCCTCCATCCAGCGCCCATCATAAAGTGAGTTCAACGACAGCCTAGTCAACTTAGTGAGCCCTTGTTTCAAAATAAGTAAAAAAAAGGTTGGCTATCTCAGTGGTAGCATATGTGAGGCTTTAGATTCCCAGTACCAGAAAGGGTAGTGGGAGCTGAATTAGGAGCTGGACCTGGTAGTGGTAGGGTTGTGAGTGTAAGGTCAGTGGGGACTATTTCAAAAGAAGAAGAATAAAACAAATTTAATCTCCAGTGATTTCAAAGAAAAGGGGACAAAAGATTGAATGCTTGGACACAATTATTATAATCCACTGGAAAAGGACTGTAGCTCTACATATGTAGCTAAGGCTGGCCTTGAATTCCCTATCCTCCTGCCTCAGATTCTCAATTATTAGGACTATAGATGTGTGCCACTGGCTTTTACCTTTCCCACCTCCCACTGAGGTTGCTTTTTCAGGTATTGTTCCTATATTTCCTTCAGCAAGAATATTGTTCTGGGTTATATATCTGAAAGAATGCCCTTCATTCTCTTCCTTTCTCTCTCCTTTTAATGGATTTTTAGGTGTGTATATGTGTGTTTGCAAAATCCAGAGGACTTGGATTTCCCTGATGTTGGAATTACTGTGGCAGTTTTGAGCTGCCAAGATGGGTGCTGGGAATTGAACTGAGTATCTATGCGGGCAGTGCACACTCCTAGTCACTGAACTGTCTATGTAGTCCTTTTCCTTTGTGTTATTTTTAGTTGTAACTTTCTGC